CAGAAGTACTCGTACAGTCGTGCCAGGGGTCCCGCAATGACCTCAGCCAATTCCCCCAGTACTCAAGGTTGGAGATCGTCTGGACCGGCTGATTTGAATACATCCAGTCCCTCCAGACATTCCCTGACTAGATCCTCCCTGACGCTTGGCCTAGGTGTGCCTCCCTTGGGGTTTAACGGGGGCCAGAGGGGGGTGGCTGTTCCCAGACGCTTTTGGTGAGCCATGGGGGCTTTTGCGCCCTCCTGCCCCCTTTGATCCGTGTTGGGATTACCTCCATTTGGGCTTGGAGGATTGTCTTCTTAAGGAGCGACCACTCTCCTTGGACACCGACTCCCCTCCCCTCCTGGACCTCAGTGCCTCTCTGACTATTCTCCTTAGCTCATTGATGTCCACCCTCCTGAAGTCCAGGGCTGCTGCCTTGCTGCCGGCCTTTGCCACCTTGCACTGGATGGTGAATCCCAGCAGGCGATGATTGCTGTCGCCCAGGTGGTTGAGCACCCACAGCCCCTGCACCAGGTCGTCACCTGTGGCCAGCACCAGGTCCAACAAGGCGTCTCCCCTGGTGGGGCTGTGCACCTCCTGGGTTAGATGGAGGTCCTGCATTTGGGCTAGGAACTTATGTGAGCGGTCAGACCTGGCTGACTGCTGTTCCCAGCAGATGTCTGGAAAGTTCAGGTCCCCCATGATGACCACGTCATTTGACCTAGCTGCCTCCGTGAGCTGACTTAAGAATTCCTGGTCTAGCTCTTCCCCATGGTCGGGGGGTCTGTAGTCAACCCCCACTGTTAAATCTTTCCCCCCGACTGCCCTGTATTCTAACCCAAAGCACTTCAGAGTGCCCCTCTGACTCTGTGCTAATTGACAAGGATGTTTATTCTTCCTTAATGTAGAGTGCCACCCCCCCCACCTTTCCTCCCTGCCCTGTCCTAGTCTACTGCTGGGTATGCCAGGTGGGCTTGCTGTCTGAGAGACTTGCATCTGCAGAAAAACGAGTATGAACAGCTCTGCGTTTTACCTACATGACACACATGGGGCCAGGGAACCAACAAGATGGCATGCAAACGCTCCAAAGAAATGGGCTCCCTGGTCTGGAGAACCTTTGTAAGACTGTCTCCAGTAGCAGTAATGGGAAGAAACTGATCTGGTTACAGAATGGAGGTAGTAAAGTTCATGGATGTGGTGTGATGTCCTGCCTCATGCAGGTCAGTGATCACTGATGAGTATCCTAAATCTGACAGTAGTAGTGGTGGTGAGGGGATGGGGGGGTGTATCTGGGTTCACCCCAGCTTGCAGGAGGGAACCCAGGTATTCAGGGGCCCCAGCCAGAAGACATCACTGGAGAACGTTATTGACTACAATGACAAAAAAAAAAAAAAAAAAAAGCCGATAGCCAATAATGTAAATTTTCCTTTTATTGGTGCCAATCCAATAGGCAACCGATATATTGGTGTAACCCTAATTCTATTCAATAGCTATTAATATTGTTATCATCCAGGAATTTCATAGTATCATAGTTGGTAGGGTCAGAAGGGACCTAAGCAAATCATCTAGCCCGACCCCCCGCCATGGGCAGGAAAGAATACTGGGGTCAATTGACCCCGGCTAGGTGGCTGTCTAGCCTCATTTTGAAGACCCCCAGGGTAGGGGCGAGCACCACTTCTCTTGGAAGTTAATTCTAGATCCTAGCTGCCCTGACAGCGAAGTCATGCCTCCTGATGTCTAGCCTGAATCTACTCTCAGCCAACTTATGTCCGTTATTCCTTGTTACTCCCAGGAGTGCTCGGGAGAACAGGGACTCTCCCAATGCCTGTGGGTCTCCCTTGGTAAGTTTATAGGTGGCCACCAGATCCCCCTCAGCCTTCTCTTCTGGAGGCTGAACAGGTTCAGGTCCCATCGCCTCTCTTCGTAGGGCCTGCCCTGCTGGCGCCTGACCATGCGAGTGGCCTCCTCTGGACCCTCTTGATGCTGGCCACATCCCTTCTGAAGTGTGGCGCCCAGAACTGGACACAGTACTCCAGCTGCGGCCTGACCAGTGCCACATAGAGGGGGAGGATCACCTCCTTGGACCTGCTCGAGATGCATCTGTGGATGCACGACAAGGTGCAGTTGGCCTTCCTGACTGTGTCCCTACGTTGGCGGCCCATGTTCATCTTGGCATCAATGGTGACTTCAAGATCCTTTTCTGCCTCTGCACTGACGAGAAGGGAGTTCCCCCCCTGTAGGTATGGTGCTGGTTCTTCCTCCCCAGGTGCAGCACCTTGCACTTGTCAGTGTTGAATCCCATCCTGTTCTCATCTGCCCACCCCTGTAACCTGTCTAGGTCTAGTTGCAGCCTGTCCCTCCTTTTGGTGTGGCCACTTCTCCCCACATTTTAGTCTCATCCACGAGTTTGAACAAGATGCTTTTCACGCCCCTGTTCAAGTCGCTGATGCAGATGTTGAACAGTGCGGGCCAGAGGACTGAGCCTTGGGGGACCCCACTGCCCCCATCCCTCCAGGTCGAATAAGACCTGTCCACCACCACTCTCTGGGTGCAGCCCTCCAGCCAGTTGGCGACCCATTTGTGTAGGTGTCGACACCACAGTCACCTAATTTTTTAACGAGGATGGGGTGAGAGACAGCGTCGAAGGCTTTCCTAAAGTCCAGGAAGACTACGTCCACCGCAACACCTGCATCCAAGGCTTTTGTGACCTAGTCATAGAAAGCCACCAGTTTGGTCTGACGGGACCTTCCTCTAATTAACCCGTGTTGATTGCCCCTAAGCATAATCTCCCTCGCTGGCCCCTCACAATTTATCCAGTCCCTTTTTGAACCTGACTCTGCTCTCTGCCTCTCTCACCTCTTTTGGTGGTGAATTGCACAAGGTCACTACACATTGCGTTAAAAATGTACTTGTTAGTTTTAAGCCTGTCACCTGTTCATTTCAGCAGGTGTCCCTTAGTCTAGTATTCTGGGACTTGGTGAACAACAGTTCTCTGTTCACTTGGTCTACACCCTTCCCTTCATGGTTTTACAGCTTCTCTCATGTCCCCCCCCCCCAATAGCATTCTCCTTTCCAAGTTGAAAAGTCCTAGCCTTTATTGTCTCTTGGCATGGGAACTGCTCCTGGCCTCTGATCATTTTGGTTGCCTTTTTCTGTGCCTTTTCTAGTTTTTCTACATCCTTTTTGAGATGTAGGGAGTGGAACTGCTGACATTGTTCAAGGTCTGGGTATGCCATGGGTTTGTATAATGGCAAGACAATGTTCTCTGTTTTGTTTTCAGTTCCCTTCTTAATGATACCCTGCTGTCTATTGACTCTTGGTTGCCACTGCACATCCAGCTGAGGTTTTTAGAGAACTGTCTACAGTGAAGCCAAGGTGTCTCTCCTGAATTGGAGCAGCTAGTACAGAACCCATGGCAGGGGTCGGACTTGATGATCTGCTCAGGTCCCTTCTGACCCTACCAACTATGAAACCCAGCATTGTGTACTCCTCTTGAGGTTATTTTTCCCCAGGTGCATTACCTTACACTTGTCAACAGTGAAGTTTATCTGGCATTTTTTTGCCCACTCACTTAGCTTGGTGAGATCTTTCTGCAGCTCGTCTCCCATCAGCTTTGGACTTGACTACCCAGAATATTTTGGTGTCATCTGCAGACTTGGAGATTTTGCTGTGCACCCCCATGTCCAGGTCATTGATGCAAATGTTAAATAAAATTGGGCTCAGCATAGATCCTTGCAGGACCCTGTTTTTGACCTCCCTTGATTTTGAAACATCGTCACTTAGCCCTGCTCTTTGCTTCCTATCTTTAATCAGCTCTCAATCCACAAAATAATTTTCCCTCCCATCCTGTGGCAGCACAGGTTTAGGTTTTTTAAGCCTTTGGTGGGGGACCTTTTTGAAAGTCCAAATATACTCTGTGAACTGGATCCCCCTTCTCACGTGTTCAACATCCTCAAAGAATTCCACAATTCCCTTTTTAAAAACCATGTTGACTTTTCCCCAGCAGATCTTGTTTGTCTGTGGGACTGCTGGTTTTGTCCTTTGGTGTAGATGGTAGTTATACCAATTTGCCAGGGATGGAAGTAAGAATCATTGATCTGTTTCCCAGGATCACCTCTGATCCTGTTGCCAGCCCACCTGTTCTCTGGCATGGAGGCTGTTTGTAATGCTAGGTTACATGCTATTGCTCAGCAACTCTGTAGTTCCACCTTTGAATTCCTTCAGAACTTAGGTGAACGCCATCTGGTCCTGTTGACTTAATAGCATTTAGTTTGTCAATTTGTTTTAAAAACTTCCTCTGCCGTCACTTCAGTGCAGTCCAGTTCTTCCGACCCATCAACCAGAAGGGATTGATTTGTCATGGGAATTTCCCCAGCATCTTGTGTGGTAAAGACCAATGCAAAGAATTCATTTAGCTATTCTGTTAGGGCATTACTGTCCCTGAGTGCACCTATTACACCTTGGTCACCTAATTTCCCTCCTTTATCATCCTGTTTTGCCATCAGTTTCTGTGAATACTTTTCATCCTTGCCATTCCCAGTCAGGGCACCTATTTCTTTCTGTTGGTAAGCTAAATTTCACCCAGTTGTCACATCTGACTTACCAAAAAAATTGAGTGTTGTGCTCAGAACGCATTAAGTCCATCAAATTCATCACTTTTTTTGTAAAATCAAACTTTTACTTTAAGAAAACAGAGTTATAAATTAAATAAATAAATACATTTGATCACTTGTAACAAACAACAAGATAAATATTAACAATACCAACAATAAATAAATAACTCTTAGAAAAATATTCCTGTCATTTCTTGACTTGCAAAGACTATTCTGTACATGTAACATAAAGGAAAGTTCAGCACTCTTGTAGCTCTTCATCTTCAGAGCACTTTGGACTGATAACTTCCACAGGATCTCATCAAGTCAGTGCAGTACCTGCACAGGCAAGTAATGGAGTCAAGTGTATGCAGAGTTGCTGAAAGTCCCGAAGTCTGCATTGGAGCTCAAGCTCCAGTCAGTAGTTTATTGTTCATATTTCTCTGCTTGACACAAAGCCCTGAAGCAGTGAAATGTTCAGTGCATAGTTTTACAGCCTGTTTCTGAACTTGTCCAGATAGTAAAACCAGGTCTTGGCTTCTATTCGGACCACCTCCCATGCACACTTGCTGTAGTTCTTCTCTTGGAGAAAATCGTGGATGTTTCTGAAGTATTTCTTCAGTTTCATAGCTTTGTTTTGGCTTCTTGGATAGAGCCCGTTTGTAGGCGGGCATGTCTCGAGCCGCTTGATCTGGACATGGACCGCATTTAGGAACCTCTCCATGCTGCGCGTGTCCCAGGCAGTTTCGGGGAGATTCCTTTTAAAGAGACTGAAGAGCTGCTGGAGGATTTCATAGGTTGCCATCCAGGCGTTATGTGGAGCCTTGGACCGCAGGACCTTCTCGGGGAACCGGAAGGTGGGCCTGTCCTCCAGGCACTCCTCAGGAAGTGCTCCAGCCACCTGTCCCAGCAGTTGCACGCTGTTCCTGTTAAGCACTTCTTGTAGGTCTTTCAAGTTGCTGCAGTCCAGCGCCGTGACGTGAGCCAGTAATAGTGCCGCCAGGCAGATCTGCCACAGGCCCCCCCAGGCTTGAATAGAGATGCATGCCATGGCTTGTGTGGAAGTGCTTGCAGCTTTGCTGCTGGTTGATGCTGGCTTCTGTGCTGTCCTTCCATCTCCCTCTATTTATCTGCTGGACCATTTTTCCTTTCATCATTTAAAATTTCCCTGTTTTCATTTTCCCAGTTTTCATTTTCACTTTCCTTCTTGGCAACTTAATTTCTCCAGGAACTTTTATACCATGGTCACGTTCCCTCCACAGTGTTCTTGGACATCTCTCTGCAGCATGGCAAGAGACACCATGGGCTTCACCTCTGCCTTTTGCTCGCTCCATGCAGTACCTAATGCAAAACCGCTTAGGTTTTGCAAGTGGTAGAAGATCAGTGTTCACATTCAGTCTTCTGCCAGGCTGAGTTCCTCCGATCAGCATGAATCATTTCTCTTTGTTTATGCAATCCCACTTAGTGATCCAGGAGGTGGCTGGCTCATCCTAGGCTTTAGCAGCTCTGTGTACAAGAGGCCCTCAGTGGAAATAATGGTTGATCCTGTAGTGATCACTTTTTTTTGTGGAGGATGCCAGGGTCCTTTTCAGTGCTTCTCAGATACCTGGGCCTGCCCTGAAGTGACACAGCCCTTGGCACAGTCCCCTCCCAGATGGCGTTGTCTCTGCTCCAGAGTGTGCTAACCAGATTACAGGTAACCTTGTGAGTTGGCTACTCATAAGAGGCAGAAACAGGTTTACCGCCCACCTCTTATTTGCTTGCACTTTAAAACTTTTCCCCAAAGTCTCTGTGGTTATCTGTGACCCCACAACATAGACTTTGTCCTCTCCTGGCTGGGGAGACTGGAGACGTGGGAGGAGGGTGGCACCGGGGGGGTGGGGAGGTGTTAATTTTTGAGTTTTCCAAATTTTCTTCCAGCCAATACCTGTATTTATAGATGGCTGGTTTTAATAATTTAATAAATGATTTTTGATTGCTTTTATTTTTTTGTTGAAACTTCTTTGGAACTGGACTGAACCAGATTTTTTTTTGTGAACTTGTAAGTTGTAACTAATTAATACCTTCTATCCTTGGGAAAGAAAGAGGGAGGGTTTTTATCTCCTTTTTCCCCCACTGTGGAATGTGGTTTAACACTGAGCTGTTTTTTTTTTATTTATGGGTTTTTTCCTGACGGTTTTTATTTTTACAGATTATTTAAGCCTCTTAAATATATTTATTATAGCAAAATAACTTTTTAATACATTTGGTTACATTGATTACTGCTGCTGATATTTTAAGATGGAGCTGTGATATAGTGCATATGGATTATTTAATGTATGGTGTTTCCTTATTTTCTCATAAAGCCTTGTGCTTTGTTTAATTGTTTGATTTTTCTTTACTAACTTGGTCACTGGCAAGTAGTTACATCAGCAAAGGTTTATGCTACAGGTATTCAGAAACAGGCGTTGGGGCCTTTTGCTTAGCATCCCTTCTGCAGCTTGGCCTGGGCCCCTTCAAAATGGCCAGGGCACGCAATGAAGGGCAGTTAGGGGTCCTGATGCTGGAGGTGCTGTCTGTCAAAAGAGCTATAAAGCCACCACCGGACCATCAAGGTCCTTGGAAACCCTGAGACCTGTGTTACAAAGGGATGAGGTCAACCAGAAAGGAAGGATTCACTTTATAGGTACCAGATGACTGTCAGGTACTGGTGCCCTAAAGCATAGGTTTTCTTTTAAAAATGTTTCATAACAATAACTTACTGTTTCCATAGTGTAAAGAAGAAAAGTCCCTGCAAACTTTTTTTTGTTGGTATTTCATTCTGCCCCTCTGCATTTGTGTTTGCATGCGACTTGCATGAGATCAGGAAAGTGAAAGGAGCTAATGTTAAAAGTGAAACTGATCCCCCGCCCCCCTCCTCCCGCCTCCGGAGAAGCCTCGGGAAGAACAAGAACAAGAAGCAAAGAGCTTAAAGTAAAAGACTTATGAAATTGTTTATGAAGTGTTGGATTAAAATGGCTAATCCACTGTCCTGGTTTTTTTTTTTAAAGCGTGTTTGTGAGATAAATAAGCATCTGCGGAATAAGTGGGAGTCCAGCCCTCAGTAGGACAAATGTCTGTGCATTTGTAGGTGAAGCACAGGCCCCACTTCTTATAGCAGCGCAACCGCCTGTGCATTAGAGTCAATGGTGGAAGCTTTTGCTGGCGCAACTTATTCAGTTAAATGCCTGGAGCCGTGCAGTAGAAATTGTTGCACATTTTCATCCTCCAGGAGCCTTTCCACAGTGAGCGGCTACCAGGCGTATGAGGCAGGGAAGCATTTTCTCCCCCCCCCCAGAGCTCAACTATTACGCGTGTCCCTGAGGCAGTGGTTGTGGCCTGTAGTGTTGTTCTTCCTGGCCAGCAGCACTGATGCAGATGTGCAGGCAGTTCCCAGCTCCTGTATTTTCTTGACCGTTCCTAAGACTGCAGAGCATGAAGCCTGACTGCTGCAGCGCTCCTGTCGTGCCAGGTGTGCCTGTTCTCCACAACCACTTTCACATCACTCCTATGTATCCAGGGGTTTCTCTGGATTATATTGATGAGCAGTGGTGTCGGACACCGTTGGACTAAGTTCATAGCCAACTGTTCTGTAATACAGTCACTGTCGTCCCATCAGACCATGCCTGCTGAGGCAGTGCTGCATTGCTTCAGTAGTATTAACTTCCTCAAGTTCCTCACTTTCTTGTGTAACTACATTGCTGCCTTTGCTCTGCTTTAGCGAGCCCTCTACTTCAGCTTTGTGTGACCCTTAGAAACCATTGAAATGAGGGGCTGGAAGGGACCCTGAGAAATCGAGTCCAACCCCCCTGCTCTGGGCAGGAGTACTGCAGAGATCGAATGATCCCAGCCAGGCGTCTGTCCCGTCTCCTCTTGAAGACTGCCAAGGTCGGGGCTGCGCCACCTCCTCGGGAAGTCTCCTTCCGGTTCTGGTCACCCTTACCAGAAAGAAGTTCTTCCTTACATCCAGTCTGAAACCATCCTCTAACACTTTGTGGCCATTCCTTGGGTCTGTTTATGATGCAGCAAACTCCTTGTCAGAAGCCCATCATGCCCTTTTACATTCCCCCAAAATACCACGAGGACGAGGGGGTGCAAAGCACCCTGTTCAGGTTTGCTGATGACACTAAGATGTGGGGGGATGTGGGCACAATAGAGGGGAGCAACAGGCTACAGTTGGACCTAGATAGGTTACAAGGATGGGCGGAGGAGAACAGGATGGGGTTTAACACAGACAAGTGTAAGGTGATGCACCTGGGGAGGAACAATCGGCACCATACATACAGGCTGGGGAACTCCCCTCTTGTCAGCACGGAGGTGGAAAAGGATCTGGGAGTCATTATTGACTCCAAGATGAACATGAGTCGGCAATGTGGGGAGGCGGCTAGGAAGGCCAACTGCACCTTGTCGTGCATCCACAGATGCATCTCGAGCAGGTCCAAGGAGGTGATCCTCCCCCTCTATGCGGCACTGGTCAGGCCGCAGCTGGAGTACTGCGTCCAGTTCTGGGCGCCGCACTTTAAGAGGGATGTGGACAGCATGGAGAGGGTCCAGAGGAGGGCCACTCGTATGATCAAGGGACAGCAGGGTAGGTCCTATGAGGAAAGGTTGCGGGACCTGAACCTGTTCAGCCTTCAAAAGAGAAGGCTGAGGGGGGATCTTGTGGCCTGTTATAAACTGGTTAGGGGGGATCAGCAGGCGCTGGGGGAGTCCCTGTTCCCCCGAGCGCCACAAGGAGTGACCAGGAACAATGGTCACAAGCTGGCGGAGGGAAGGTTTAAGTTGGACATCAGGAGGCGCTACTTCACGGTCAGGGCGGCTAGGGTCTGGAACCAGCTTCCAAGTGAGGTGGTGCAGGCTCCCACCCTGGGGGTTTTTAAGAGGAGGTTGGATGACCACCTTACTGGGGTCATTTGACCCCAGTGCTCTTCCTGCCATGGCAGGGGGTCGGACTAGATGATCTGCTCAGGTCCCTTCCGACCCTAGAAACTATGAAACCAGCGTGAGCAGACATGGATTTTCTTTGTAAGCAATTGGTATTTTCTTTGTGGGATAATTGGCTGCTTTCAGCTTCTCCTGTGACTTATTTCCTGACAACGGAGGAAGGTATTTTTTCCCCTCAGTTGCACTGATGAGCATCGGGTTGGGACTGAAGTCTTTCACCACCTGTATTCCCTGGAGTTGTCCCTGTGTAGGTGTGGCTGCATAGTTGTTGTTTCCCCAAAGGCCTGGAGTGCGCAGATTCAGATCATATCTATTTTGATGTCTGTCTTCTGAAACCATGCCCGACTTGTGTGCACACGTGTGCTTGTAGAGAGCCAGTCGGGGTAAGCATCACTTCAGTACGACGGGCGCTCTTAGGATTTCAGCAGAGGATTTGATAGCAGTTTGTGGGGGTTTAATTCCTGTTGGCTCAGATACGATACTGTCGCATGGGATTGTGAAGTAGCTGGAAGGTGCTAAGCAAAGAATAATGATAAATGGCAATGTATTAAGATGCAGGGAAGCTTCCAGTTGGTCCCCTGGGGCTCTGTTAAATTCTGTCGGCCTTTGTTTCCTCACTGATGCAGAAGAGGCTGAAGAGAGCATGCTAGTGGCTTTCCGAATAAGACCAAGTTCATAACACCTCCCAACTCAAGTGAGAAGAGGGGCGATTCGCAATGTGGAGGAGAAGACTTTCCCAGCAGGCAAAAGAGCAAGCTGTGTATTTGGGGGCAGGGGCACGTGGAAAAATTGTGAAGCTGGTGCATTCAGAGGCAAAGACCCACAAAGCAGTCCTTGATGGACTTGGGAGGGTTAAAGGGACAGGAAATGGTATTTGAGAGCAAAATAGCTCGGTGGTGTCCTGGGCTGTGTGCGTGAAGGCACGTTGGATCGTGCTGGAAGGAGCAACTCCCCAGCACGCGGCAGTGGCCAAGGCAGAAGCCCTGGGAAGCAGCTCTGAGGGACTTGGTTCTTCCAGGTTGAAGCTACCCTGTCCGTGGAGGCACAAAAAAGCTTTGTAGGTGGCTGTGACCATTAGGCCGTGGTGCTGGTGGGCTGGTTATGGTTACCCTGTCTGCTTATTCCCTGCCCTTCTAACTCACCGGTGTAGTTACTTTTGCCAAGTGCTTCTTGGCTGTCTGTAGTTCTGATGTCCTGGCCTGGCATGTCAGCCTAGACTAGAAGCTGTATGCAGCAGCAAGCGTCTTCCCTTCTGCCTGTGCAGCGCCGGACGCAATGAGGCTCTGATAGTGGGTGCTACAGTACCAGAAATAACCTAGAGGAATCGTCTTGACTGTACCTCCTTGGCAGCTTTCTCTGACAACCTGTATTCACATTTGTTGTGTTTCTTATCTTACACTGGCACTTGTTCAATGACTGCATGTGAAAGGGCTGCAGCATTTCTTGCCAGCTGAAGAGCTGTTTTAAAAGCAGGGAAAGCACAAAATGATGCCCAGGAAACAACAGCATGTAGAGAATGGGAAGTCCTGGGCTCTCGCTGTGTCCTGCTCTGCCAGGCTCCCTGTTAAATTTCTGCCCAGGCTTCCCTTATTTTGCATGCGTCTGGGGAGGAGAAAACAAACAGGCTCATCCCAGCCCAAATCTGTTCGGCTGCTTCTGCTTTCACGAACCTTTGCCTGCAAGTTGGCATGTCTGCGATGCTGGTGCTTTGGGTGTTAATAAATGTCTGTCTGTCTCTCTCTCTCTCTCAGGATTATTATGGAATTACATTCCCTGCTCCTGCAACCTTGACAGGCAGAGATGGGAGCCTTGCTAACAACCCATACTCAGGTCAGTGCTAACTCGAGAGGAGGGTAATCATTGCGAAGGTGTTGATTTTTTTATTGTAGGTTACACTGTTGTTAACTGAAGGAGCTTTCACCACCTCCTCCCTGCAGGCAGCATAGTTCACCCATCCCAGCTAGCTGGAGCAAAGGAGGTGCTGTGCGGAGCTCATGTTAGCTTCTGGCAAGTGATCTTATCTTGTAAGATGTGAGCAGGCCTGTTCCAAAACCCATCAGTGCAGAGATGCCAAAGCTCCCTGCATCTGGCCCATCCCCAAGTGTCTGCAAGGACTTGTTTCTCTCTAGGAAGTGGAGCAAGTTCCCTCAAACTTTTTTTCTTAGTAGTCAGCCTGTGCTTCCTTCACGCGAGTGCAGGTGCCGGGTCCTTTTTGACCTTTCTCACCTGTTACATTATTGTCGTTTTGTATTATGGCAGAGCCTGTAGGCTTCACTCAACCTCTTCCGCCTGTGGTGTGCACAGAAAACAAGTCACGTTGTGCTGCTGGAGAACATCACCCTTACCCTTCACCTCCCCAGGTCCAGGCCCACACACAATCATGATGCTAGTATTGTCAGTCTGCAGTTTGCAGACTGCCATCATGTTGTGATGGGAAATCTTTGACCTGAGTATTGGGAGCCTTGCATTGCCCCTTCCAAGTCAAGTTCCTCTCAGGCCTTAAATGCCACTTGCGGGCAGCCAGGCAGAGGAGGAATGAGGCACGTTCATTTGGTCTCTGCATGCTTCTCGGTAGGCTCTTCCAGAAAGCCAGTGTATGCGGGACTCCTGCTTGGATTCCCCTGTGCAACCAGGAGGCTGTTGGTGGGCTGATAACCACATTTCCCTTCCTACTTCTTCAATAAGGTGGCTCCAGATGCAAGCCTTGCTCCCCTGGCCTTCACCTGTTGTCTCCAGACCCCTGGAGGTGTGAGGAACCAGAGACCTACTCGGTCATGCTTGGCAAATAAGTAGACTTTGACAAAAACATGCCAGTCACTGCAGAAGCCCTAACTCCCTCAGGCCTGAGGCTTAGCTAACCCAGTTCACTTTTTAA